GAGCAAGAAAAGTCACCAGCTATCACTGTTATCAGGATAAATTCTAGCCTGAATATAGAAACACGCTGATCGTGGAGAAACACTTTTTTCTAATGTGGGATGAAGTTCTTTAACATGTGAAGCACATTATAAAATTATCCTTAAATGCAGTTGTTGCCCACAGGTTGTACCAACTCAAGAAAGCCAAAATGTTTCACTGGATAACTTACCATTCCACCTTATCATCAAGGTACTAAATTTATTAGTAGGAGTGGACTTTTCACAGATTGGAAACACTTTGGAACAGGAAATCAATCTTCATTATTATAAGTGTGCATACAAGGTTTTTTACAAAATGAGGCTCTAATCTCTCATGGGAGCTTTCAAGTACTACCCACAAGAAATGCTGGCAGTTTGTTAAGAGTTTTCATATTCCTATTTCATATTCTTTTGTCATGGGCAGAGTTGTTTGTGGATACATCCTAAACTGTGGCAGTACAGAGAAAATTCACATATATGAAATTTTGTATTTGCAAATGATGCAGAAAAACACAGGGACCAAATTTTGCTCTATAATTGTGACACATGGGAACAACTGCCAGTGAAATAACTAAATTTTATTATTGAAATCTTATGTTGGTTTAAAACTTTCATTCTGATGCATACCTTGATTTCAACTGGATATAATACAGGGCAGAAAATGGCTTATAATAAAGGCAAATCATTATGTGGGTATTCACAGCAGTTACTGATTAGCTATATAATTAACTGAAATCAAAAGATAACTAACTTTTAATGGATAACTTTGTAAACAGTTTGGCACTCTCTTTGTGAGTTGTTTTGTCTTTGTGACTTGTGATTTCTGATTATTTTTATTTATTTATTTTTGTTCCCAAATCCCAGCTAAAAACCAGTCTCTCGTTGGCAACCCTTTTCTTTTTTTTGCGTGTAAGAGCCTTTCAGCAGCTTGAAAAGACTAACTTAACTTTTTAATGTCTGGGATCATTTATGTTCAAAATAGCAAATGTGTATCTGCTACATATGTATTTTTGCTAACTCTTTTATAAAAATAAAAGAGTTGTCTTCGCCATTGTTACCCACACACAAGATAATGCTGAACTAATTAAGAAGTCATTGAGGAAGACAATCTGTTCTGAGGCCATTAAAAATTGGAGATGCCATTAGGATCCCATTGCACTATGGAAACATGAAGAAGTCATTCGGATTATTTCATCAGATGCCACTCTACTGCTCAATTTCACATGAAAATTTCAAGGCAATTTCCATAGAGATTTCGTCACTATTAAATTAAAGTGAAGCCAAACTGGCACCTCTAAGCATTTATATCGCCACTAAGCATTGAAACTTCAGACAAATGTATTTCAATGATGTTCTGACACAAACCCACAGTTTCTAGGATTTTGACATGTAAACTACCAGATTACGTTTACCTCAGTTTTGGCGGGGGTGGTGCTCATTTGTTGAGTAGATTAATCCTGATGCTCAGCCTTATACAGATGCAGAGCCACCTGTATATGCAAAAATAAGGAGTGGCCCCCAGTGCCTCAAATAATCTTCCTTCTAACCTTACCAGTGCTATCCGATGATGCCACTACTATGGTCTCCTTCTCTGCAGTAATTTCTATGCCATTGGTAAGAGACATTTCTGCCTCAATCCGCCAAATGTAGTCAGAGGATCCTGCTATTCTTCCTAGCTATCTTTACTGTACTGAAAAATCCGCTACTCTCCTCTTTCTATGATGGATCAACCACTACCTTCATATGTAAGTTTTCCTGTATTTATCAAGCCCAAAGGAACTATCATGATCCATAAAGGCAACAACATCTCTAAATGAATTCTTGTTCAAAGCAGAACATCTTTTATAGAAAAGAATTGAATCTTGATTTAAAAACTGCTAGTGATGGAGAGTCCACCACAATTTGTTAAGTTAATGCAATGGTTAATTACCCTCTCTTCTAAAAGTTTGAGCCAAATTTCTATTTTGGTTAACTTCAATATCCAGCCATCAGTTCTTGTTAAACCTTTACTTACTGGACTGAAGAGCCCCATTATTTTAAAGTTTTGTTCCCTATGCTGAAACACAGATACTTTGTGATCAAATTACCCCTTAAACATCTCCTGCAGAAGATAAACAGATTATGCTCCTGAAGTTTTTAAGGTACGTGGAATCTGTATCCCTGGAAATTTTTAAGAGCAGACATTTGGCTGGGATGGTTAGTCCAGGAAAACCCTGCCTGGAGCAGGAGGCTGATCTAAACCACCTCATGTAGTCCCTTCCAACCCTACTTTTTTGTGTGTCTATGTTTTCCATTCTTTAATCATTCCCGTGTTCTTCCTTGATTGGTCTCCACTTTATCAACATCCTTCTTGAATTGTGGACACTGCAGTGAGCTGCAATATTTTAGAGGAGGTTACACTGGTACCAATACAGAGGAAATATAATTAAATATAATTCTTGTAGACTTATGTAAGATTTTTTTTGGTTGATACATCCAAATATTGTATTAGTCTTTTGAACTGAAGATTGCACTAGGAGCTGATGTTTATGACCCTTATGATTGTTCAGAGTCACTATTTTCCACAGTAGAGTCCTGCATGCTGTTGGTGTAACCTAGGCTCATTGTTCTTTGGTGCACTGAAGACCCCATACTTCCCAGAGAGAACGTCTGAGAGAGAGTCTTTAGTGATCATTGACCTCCATTCATAAACTGTTTCTGCTTCCCACAGTACTGGATCAGAGTGATCATTCCAAATGTCTCTTCTAAACCTCCACTGTCCTGTATGCTTACCAATCCAACGTGCTTATAGTGATGGGGCAGGGCTCAGGGTTTGCCTCACAGTGGGAATCAGATCTCTTCTCTCTCATGAAAGGCCAATACATGCTCCACTTCTGTCTGTCTGTGGAAATGCGGTGCCTGTCTTTGTCAAAGGCAAATGTGGTATGTGGGTGGTAAGCATCACTGAAGAGTTTTATTTCAAGTTGTCATTTCCTTGATTTCAAGGGTTTACGTGGTTGAGTTTTGCCTTAGCTGTACTTTACCTGGCCTTATAATGAACTAAGCTTTTGTATGGCCAAAGCTATTTCTTATTTGCTCTTTCACTGATGGGGCAGCTGTCTGTCTGGGGCCCTGCCCAGAATACACTGAGCTAGATACATTTGTCACATATGTGATTGCTCTGACCACCATACAGGTACTTTTCTCCCAGCCTCTCCACCTCCATAATCTATTTCAGTCCTTGGAAGTAGACTTCATGGTTGGCTGAACCTCATGGCTATCATTCAATTCTCTTCCCACTTCTTGCTGCTCTATTAAGTAAATGACCGCCCTGTCACCCGAGTTCTCGGTGAGGGTATATTTAGTACTGCTAGTGACAGCTCCATGTATGGACATGATATGCAGCTAAGTGACAGAAGAGTAAGACATTCTACCTGCAGATTTCCAAGGGGTCTTTTGACATGTAGGGAAGAATGACCTTGTTTCTTCTTTAGGAAAGGAGCTGGCACACTTCCTGTGCAGATGCCTGCCTCAGCCTCCAGTGATTCTCACTGTTTAGGATCATTAAGAGTTACTGGCTGAATTGGTACACACCCTGCACTTCTATGCTGAGGGATCTACAATGTGTTTTTCTTCCATGAAAGAGCCTATGGCAGATGGAGAGAGGAGTTCCTAGCCGTTTGATGGTAACAACCCCCATAATCCTGTGCCCTGGCACAGGGACTGCCGTAGTTTAATCGTAGCTTGAAATGGCAGACTGATTTAGCAGTCCGTGCTGCCTTCCTCATCTAACCTACCATCCTCGACACACCCTGTCTCCTTATTTAATGAACAAGGTGATTTCAGGGCTTGCCAAGTTCCATCCTACGCTCCCTGACTGAGCAAATGGAAATCAAATGTCATCTTTCACCAGCTCCGGATTGTAGGGGGAAACTGCCATTTTCACATGCCTCTAGGAAATTCACAGTAGTTCCACTCAATCAGGTCACTGAGACTTAGCCAGTAGTGTTCAACAAAGCTGCAATACACCCCATATTAAAACAAACCCAGAAGTGGAGCCTTCTGCTTACAGTTGCTCATTTATGATGTTTTTGTTCTAGTAAACAGGACAGTGAAAAATGAAAGTGCATTATAACAGTGGAAAAGGCTAATGCAGTGATGGGATTTGAACCTTCCTATAATGCCAGTGTTTCCAGAATGACAGGAACTATTAATAACTGTAGACATTCCCAATTCCCTATGTACAGTCATGACTGTACCTAGAAAGTAATTTTGGTAGGCAAGAAACTCCAGTCCAAGCCTAATGAACATTTCAGAAGTTAAATAATATATTAATCCAGGATGAACAAAAAGACTGAAAGAATCACCACTTTATCAGAGACCTCATGATTCCTCATAGAGTCAGTGGCAACTTCTGACAATGATTAAAAAAAAGCCCTCCGCAACAAAACAGAGGTTTTTAACTCTTATAGTCAGCTCTTGTTAATTTTGATCCTGAGACCACTATAAAAATATACAACTGCTTCACAGAGGACAGCATTAAGCATTTGTGCATATATGAATGTACAAACTCACATGTGTACCTATGCATAGTAATTTTCCACAAGCCATGATCTGTAAAGAAAGTTTCTAATGGGTAACACAAAGGGTTTATTCATCATGTCCATTTAATCTTTTCTGCAAAAGTTGCCTATAAGGATGGTAACTCACATCAATTGTAGTAGTGATTTTAATGATGTGGATGAAATCCCACCCAGACATGCACTTGGCCCAATCCTATTTCTGTATATGTGTAATAGCTTTTAGAAAGGCTACTGAACAGCCATTAGATGGTAACATCCATTAGTTAATACTGATTTGGACTGTATTGACCAAGCCACCTAAAGTTGTGTAGTGTGTTTGAACATCACTGTTTGACATTTGAAAAGCAAAATAGTGGAATTTGAACTGGGGTTCTCCATCTATACACACAAGTACTTGTGTTAAAAGGAACTTTTCTGTCTCCAGAATGGCATTTATTGATCTGCATTTTTTCAAAATGGCATCCTTAATGACAATAATTTGCTCACAATAGATCCAAGATGAGATTTTGAAGGGATTTCTACAAAAGGTGGAAACTTGGCCATATTACTAACAATGTCTATAAGACTGCAGTGTAGGAGCATGGAGTAGCAAAATCAAAAAGGTCAAAGGACAATAGAGGTATAGCTAGCAAGAGACATAAAAGGTAGCAAAGAAAGTGTTCTACAAACAAGAAAAAGTATAGGTCCCTTACTGAATGGGGAGGAGAAGATAATAATGTGGAGAAGGCTGAAGTGCTAATTTTTTTTTTTTATTTCCGTGCCCACTCAAAATGAGCTCTCACACAGTGAGCACATTTACCAGCAAGGACACCCAGCTACTCACTCACCCAAGAAAATGGAAAGAACAAGTGATGGATCATTTAAATAAACAAGATGTTTTCAAACCAGAAAAGCCACAGGATTAATCCTAGAGAACTCAAGTAATTGGCTGAGATAACTGCAAAGCCATTAGATATTATCTTGGAGAACTCTTGGAGGTCAAGTGAGGTCTCAGAAGAACTGGAAAAAAAGATTAAATATTGTCATTGGCAGTCCCTCGATAGGAGGATGATAGTCTTTCAGTAAATAGGGAAGCCATCGGTGAATCCAGAGATGACTCAAGAGGCTCATCCAAAACCTGCATATTTGACTACAGATATGGCAAATAGTTCCGGGAAGGAGTGGATCGTGGTGATGTTGGGTCACAGCTCTTTCACTTTGTCTCCCTTGTCTATCCACCTTCATAGTGAGTTGAGCTTGCTTGAAATGACTGATGCCAGGAATCCAGGAAATTACAGACTGATCAGTCTAACTTTGATACCTAGAAAGACACAAGAACATACCTTCAAATAATGTATGTCTAAGCACCTAAAGGATAACGAAGTGAGAACTAATATCCAACAGAGATTTGTCAAGAGCAAGTACTGCCTAACAAACCTGATTTCTTTCTATGACAAGGTTACAGGCATTGTGGACAGTGAGAGGACAGTGGAGGTGATATACCTTGATGTTTTTCCCATGACATTCTCATAACTAAGTCAAAGAAATACAGTCTAAATGGAACTACTATAAGGCAGATGTAAAAGTGGTTGGATAATTTCCTTTCCAAGAGGAGTAATCAATGTAATGAAGTCAAATTAATAGGAGGCATCTCTTTCAAAACTTTCCAATGATGATTTGAAAGACACAATTGAGCATATATTTATTGAATTTGCTGGTTTCCCCAAGATGGATATGATAGCAGATATTTAGAGATCAGGATCAGGATTTAAAATGACCTTGATAAATTGGAAAAGTGGTTCTGAAATAAATAGGATTAAATTCAGCAAGGACAAGTGTAAAGTCCTTCACCTAGGAGGGAACAATAAAATGTAAAATATAAAATATTGACTGACTAGCTAGGCTGCAGTACTTCCAAAAAGACCATGTGGGTTGTAGTGGACTGAAAGCTGAATATAAGTCAACAATGAAATAGGGTTGAATATAAGTTGATTATATACTGGGGCATATTATTAATTGGAGTATCATATATAAGTCATGGGAAGCTATTCCTTCACTCTATTCAGCACAATAGAGGCTTCATATAGAGTACCGCGTCCAGTTTTGGGCACTGTATTTCAAGAAAGACATGGACAAGCAGGAAAGAATCCAGCGGTGGGGGGAAGCAACAAAATTAGAAATATAAAACCATGATATTTAAGGAAAAGTTGAAGTTGGGATTACTTATTCTAAAGAACAAAAGAGTCATTGGGGATTTAGTAAGAGTCTTTGAATACAAAAATATTTGCTATGAAGAGGATGGTGATCAGCTGTTTTCTTTGTTCCCAGAGCAATGATAGAGTAGTAATAGGCTTGTATTGCAACATGGAAGATTTAGGTTGAAGAATTTTCTAATAATGACAGTGGTTAAGCACTGGAACAGATTATCAGGGAGGTTGTGGAATATGTCATTGGAAGTTTTTAAGTATAGGTCAGACATATATTCCTGGGATGGTTTAGATAAGCACGTTCATATCTTCAGTAAGGGGTGAAAACAAATGATCTCCTGAGGTCCCTTCTAGCCTGCTCTTATTAAGGTTCATTTTGATCCAAAGTTTTTAGACAACTTTGAAAATTGCAACCAGGGGTGAGAGAGAACCAAAAAACAGCTTTTACAGCAGTATAAACAGCACTGCGGTGATCATAATACTGTTAAGTTTTGAAAACTTTCCTATGAACAGGAGAAGGAGTCAGGATTCAGGAGAGCCCAATGACTCAGTAAAATTTGACTGTTATTTTTTATGGGAAAGTACATAATTAAAGTATTAAAACTGTTCCTTTTTTTTTTAAACTCTTGGGTTTTGTTTCCATTTATCTGTTTAATTTTACTACTGAAATGCAGTTTGGCAGAGATTCATATAACAGAGATTTAGAAAATGTCCATGTTTTGAAACATACACACAGACAGGCTTTGGAGCTTTATTTATGCTTTTTAGAAGTTTTGTATTTGGGGGCTTTTAAAACTGTAGCCAATGAACCTCTTTCTGAAATACAAGCATTCAAAAATGCTTTCCATTTTCCACAAAGGCTGTTGCTGTGATCTACCCTACTTGGTTTGGGAAATGTCCGTTTTTGAAAATGTATATTCAATACTCAACGTTCTCCACATTGTTTAATTTAAAATGGGACTAGGAGGAACACAACACCTGTAAGGTTACAACGACATGCTTTAAAAGCTATGTCCTGTTCTTATGGGGAATGTGATAATAATAACCAAGTATTTTGTAGGGCTTGAAGTCCAGTTCAGGAAGCAAATTGTTAAGGATAGTGCGAGAGTTGTGATGTGGAGTAATAGGATCAAACCAAGCAAAGGAAAATTACAGTCTAACATCCAGAAACAGCAAAGTCAGCTAGATTTCTCACTAGCGTCCCAGGGGGACTGGTGGAGAATGCAGTGACTAAGTCATTAAATGGAATTGGACAAAGCACTAGCAAGTGTGTTGTCTGTATGAAGGTCCTACTTAAAGAAGGGTTAGACCTCCCTTGTCTCTTTTGCTCACCTTTACTCATACTACCTTTTATACCTAGAGCATCCATTTAATTATAGCCTGACAAATACCTTTACACAGAAAACTATACCCCAGGGTCTGTGAAACATTCCAGCTATAGCACCCACTCACACTGTTTGCGTAAAAACTTTCCTTTCTGGCCCATATAATTAGACAGCAGCAGTAAGATGTATGATGCCATATAAAAGCTCTAGAAGTTTTCCTTCTCTAAAGTGCATGAGTCAAGGCATTCCCTCCCATGGGTAAGTCCAGAGAGGTGGGGAAATGTACTGAATCACAGCACTAAAACCTCAGCTTGTTCTTCCTGGCAGGTTTAAGGACCTGGGCTGAGTGGAGAAAACAGCAGCATAGTTTAGCAATTACACCGGAGAATGTATCCAGGCCCCAGCCCTACGTGACTTCCAACAATCCTGCAGTCCTCAGACAAACTCCTAGTGAAGTGAACAATAGATCTGCTCGAGAAAGGAAGGGAAAGTTGAACTTTATAGAAGAACTCTGAAAGTACTTGTGCCCCATTCCTGGATGGGTAAATTTTCCCAGTTGGAATAGAAATTGATAATAGACGGGTATTTTCCTCAGGTAATTTTTTTCTACAGTGTGCCCAGGCTGCAGTGTTACCAAATTTGAAAAATGGAAATGCCACACCAGAACCCCCAAACAGCAATATTTAATGGAAAATCATTGTACATCACAAACTTGTAAGAATATGCAAATGCAAGTGGCTTATCTTAATATGATCACATAGCAGCAAACAGTTTCATCCTTCCTTTATGTTTTAGACCTTTAATATCTCAAGTCAGATTCCACTTGGGAATCCCCTTCCCCAGCTACTACATGTTCACCATTACCAGATCTGTATAACATGTCTCTAAGACTCTAAGAGAGGCTGTGGCCATGGGGATCAAAACAAAGACAACTTAAGGTTGCTGGAAGATGGGAAAGTAATAAAATATGATAAGTTTATTTCAAAGGAACATACTCGTTGGATCTTTCTGAACCGTATTCCATATACTCCTTACTTGCATCCTGCTACAATGACAGTGCAGGCAAGGCAGGAATGTTCTGACCATCTTCTCAAGATCCAGTTTCACATTGTACAAGGGTTCAATTTGCTGGGCATATACAACAACACCTTGCAACATGGCAGTCCTGAATCCCTGAACAGCTGTAAGAAGAAATGGGATACAGGCAAATTTCTTTTCCCAGTCAAGGAACTACTACCTTGCCTCAAGAAGGAGCTACTCTGAGACTCTCCTTCCCTCGAAAGGCCTCGCACAGACTCCTAGCCAAACACAGGCAGCTTCTTCCCATAATAAACTTACACACCTGAATGCTTAAGGTCCAATTTTGTACCAGCCTGAAACACAGGAAACCTACCCATTGTCTTGGGGTGAATTTTGAAGCCTAAGCTTGGCTTTGTGTTAACACAACTACTCTGAGAACAGCACCCAAGCTGGAAGCACCCAGTTTAAAGCTAGCTCAGGTATGTCTAAGCAAGTAGTAGTAACAACCATGAAGGCATGTTCCATGTTCACTTTCACCAAGTGGCTCCAGGCATCAGTTTACTTCCTTGTATGAGAGTCTTCTGCAAAGACAATATGATGTGGTTGCCTCTGACAGTAGGAGACTTCATTCACCTTGGGAGACCATTCTCATGTTCCCAGGTAAAGGTACCTTGGAAGCCATGTGTAGCCCTATTATGAACTTATATTAATTGAGTGCTGACAGATATGCTTGACACTTTATGGTTATATAAGGGAGTACTTGTGACTGCAATATTTTAAGAGAAAACTCACAGGAAAGTGGAAGAGAGAGGCTAAAAGACACTATTCTGGTTTCAGAAATGGTTCAGTGGTTCATCACACAGGTACAATTTGTAAATCACTTACTATCCCTAGAAAAATGTCAGCTAGTAATGTCAAAAGTAAAAAGGAGGTTTTTCCTTTGTAATTAGGTAGGTATACTTTTTAAAGTCACACTTGATCCATTAAGAGGCACAAATCTGGTGTTAAAGTCTCCTCTCTGTTACATCAATGTAACTGTCTCAGTTTTTAAACCACTTTTCAGGTCTGACATAATAGTTTGTCTTCTTAATCTTCCTCTATCTGTCACCCTCAGGCCCTCAAAAGCAGCTGCAGTTCTTGTAAACTGAGGAGTTAAAAAGAGAATAATAAAAATATACTTTCAGAAAAATGATTTCAAAGTTATGTTTCTAAACTCCTATTGCATGCTGCATGATGCAGGAGACTTTCACTGTAGCTGAAATAACAGTTTGGTTCATGGTGGGACTTTTTTATCATTATTAAGCTCTATGATTCAGTTTAGCAAATTATAGTACGGAGAGATGAAGAGGGCATGATCTCTGATCCTATGTGTTTACAGTCTATGCTGGGCTGAAAATACACCTCAGACAAAGAAACAAGCTGGAAGGTATCAGACATTTTGAACTGAAGATAGGACTTCAGGTAGAAGATAGGACTTTAGATAGAAACAGGCAAAACAGTGGGTCTGTTGAAGGCCTATATCAAAGAGGGCTGGTCGGTTGTTAACAGGCCATTTAGGGGACAACCTGTAATAGAATCCCAGTTTTCACTTGAAAAAAATGCCTGCACATTCCTAGCTCTTTTTCTTGGGACAACAGGTGTGAAACCAGACCAACCTGGTGGCCTTCTATGAACAGGTCACAAAAGCCTTGGACGCAGGTGTCGCGGTGGACGTAGTCTTTCTGGACTTTAGAAAGGCCTTTGACACTGTCTCTCACCCCATTCTCATT